GGTTTTGGCTGCGTTTATTATATAGTCTGTTAGGTTTTTACAATAGGTTTCTTGATCATTATTTTCTATTTCTTTTAAGTTAGCTTTGTTGCAGATATCTTGGAATTGGTCCCAGTTAGCTTTATTGTAATGGAATTTTGGTTCTTGGTTTTCTGTTTGGATTGGTACGTTTGTATTTCCTATGGTTATGTTTATGGGGAAGTGGTCACTACCTAGCGGGACGTCGTGCACTTCCCATTGAGTACTTTGGGCTAGATCTTCGGTGCATATGGTTAGGTCGATAGCCGACATTTTTTGGTTTATCTTATCGTACCTCGTGGGTTGAGGCTATTAAGGAGTACTAGGTCGTTTGTTTCTATCCATTCGGAGATTAATTTGCCATGATTATCTATTTTATCATCTATGCTCCATGTAGGATGGTGAGCGTTAAAGTCTCCTAGGAATATAGTAGATTTATCACTTATTTGGAGTAGTTTGTTTAGATCCTCAGGATTGACTTTTTGTTCCGCCCAGTTGTAAATATTTTTGATGTTTATGTTTCGGTTATTTAATGTGATTTTAATGCCGTTGGCTTCTAGGTTTGGCGTGTCTATTTTTATTTCTTCGTAATTTATATCTTCCCTGATAAATATGATTAGTCCTACTGCGGCTCTTCTTGTTTTCGGTTTAGCTCTGTCAGTTCTAACTGAGTTGTAGTTAGGTAGTGTGAATTTGGATTTTTTTGAGAATTTGGTTTCCTGTATACAAGCAATGTGAGGGCCTTTATTTAGTTTCAATTTAGATTTTAGTTAGTTTTGAGTCCGTTGGCGTTCCACTGAAAAATATTTAGTCCTTCCATTATTGGGTTCGGGTGATTGGTGATTTAGTTTTTAGTTGTTTTTTTATTCGGTGAGTTCTTTTAGATGGAGGTTAAAGAGGAAGAAGGGAAGATCGGTTAATTTTAGATTGAAAGCTACTTTGTGGAAGGATTTCATGCTAGCTTTTGGTGAGTTTTGACTATGTTACCAGCAGAATGTTCCGTTCCCCACATCTCCTACCATTGACGAGGAATATTTTGATCTGGTCAGACACCCTAATATGAGGTTAAATGTTGAGATGAACATATTCAAAGAATTTGACAATGTTAATAAGCAGATGATAAACATTAGCACGTTTATGAACTGCTTTGCAGCAGGCATCAGACATGTTCTTCCCCCTGTTAACAGTGAAGAATTTACAGGCCAACCTTGTGACTCTAAAGTTGAAATGAACTTGGAACAAGGTGGATTCATTCATAGTGCGCTGGACAGCATAATGAAGAAGCAAGAAGATCTCCAAGCTGCACAGGTATGGATGTCCACACAATTCCTGCTTGCTCAACGTAATCATCTTATTCAACCGGTTAGACATAATATCAGTTGATATTGGCCCCCCACTTCTTCCTGGCAGACTAACCTCTGTGATTGATGAGATTTCACGCACCACTAATCAGAGAACTCCACTATCTCCTTGGCATCCAAGTTCAATGAAAATCAGTCAGCCGATACCAAGAGTCACAAGGATCGACCTAAACGCAGGCATGTTATATCGGGACGTGAGTATTTTCGTGCCTCTACTTGGAAAAGTTCATCCCATTCCAGACGAAGCCGAGGGAGACGAGTCCCAAAGAAGCAGAGGTCGATCCTATACCAGAGGTAGAGGTAGCCACCGTTCGTGACTCTATACATCCAAGAATCTCTCAGCCAAATCCTGTAGACCTTGCTATTCTACTGGACCTTGAATACCGATAATCAAAATTCATCTTAACGCCTACCGCGGGACCAGTCGGCAGTTGTCTGTCACTATTCGCCGAAAATTGGAATTCAATTATGGACGACCATTGGCTGATCGAAGAGGGTACAAACTCCAAACTTTGGCTACACGAGAACAACTAGACAAAGGGGCCATCAGCGTCATACAGAAGTCAGTCACTACAAGAGGTTTTTACTCTCCAGTATTTCTGGTCCCCAAAAAGAACTCTCCAAAGATGCGCATGACAATAGACCTAAAGGTACTCAACAGAGACTACCTAGTACCTCCCCAAAGTTTCAAATGGAATCAGTAAAATAGTAACACAGCGGGAGCACGGGTGGCCCAGTCGTCCAAGGCGCAGCGATTCGCTGTGCAGAGTTGCATCCCTTGGGCACACCAAAAACCTATGATTGTGGGTTCGAATCCTGGTTCGTCCCGATTATGTTTCTAGGTTTGTCAGCACCATACCCGTGCTCGTGGGTTTCACCAAAGTGGTTAACGTCTGAGACCTGCATCACTTCGGGCTTTCCTCCCACATTAAGCTGACACGCTGCGATATAACTGGAATACTGTTAAAAACGGCATTTAACCCAACTCACTAACTCACTTAAAGTGAAACAAGACACTAGTCTCTGAGAAAATGGTATCAGGTCAGCATCTCATGTGTCCGCCATGTGCATTGATGACTGCAGTGCAACGTCGATACATTGAATGGATGAGGCGGTTGATAAAGGACATAAGCACTTGAGCCCACACTCTGAGGAACGCCTGACGCAGTTCAGCTGCAGTTGTCGGCCTTGGTGGATGTCATTCAACCATCTTTGAATCTCGTCCCACAGGTGCTCAATGGGATTTAAATCAGACTGAGGGCAGGCAACTGCATGGTTCTGATGCCATTCTGCTCTGTGCAAGACCAATTCCACCCCACACCATGATGCTCGGACCACCCCACGAGTCTCTCTCAACAACACAAGCATCCGAATAACATTCCCCACAGTGTGGCCAGACTTTCTCTATGCCATCTGCTGTTGAGATACAGTAACGGCTCTCGTCTGAGAAGAGGACTCGTCTCTACTGTTGGTGGCGCCAAAGCTGGTGCTGTGTTTCCCACTGAAGACGGTACCGGCGATGACATGGTGTCAGAATGGGTCCTTGGTGTTGCATGTGACAGTGGAGGTGTCTGCTCGACAATCGTCGACACACGGTGTCCACAATAATGTGTCGCTGGTGTGTCCCCATGGTCTGGCAAGCAGTTTCCGCAGCAGTAACAAAGCGATCTTGAAGATGCTGTCGCACTATCTGACGATCCTGACGTCGGGTGGTGACCCTTGGTCTTCCACCTCGTGGTCGGTCATCTGTAGTGTTGGTGGTCTTGTACCGTTGCTGGAGCCTGTATATGGTCCTTACGTGGACTTGAAATGCATTGGCTACTTGCTGGGCAGTTTCGTCCAGCTTGCAATCGTCCAAGGGCTTGGTGTCTCTAATTTCTTGCCAATCTTGGCATGTGGTAGCAATTCAATAACGAATGAATGTTACCCGATCTGGGTGGATTTTTATAGGGCCAGAAATTGGGGAACGCATGTGCATTTCAATTTGCACGAAACTAACATGCATCAGGTTACCATGGCGGTTGCCGTGATGCTTTTGGGCAATCGGTTTTATTGTCATCTGCTTTGTTTTTTCATCATCAAATTTAATTTTTCCGGACAAGGTAATGTTAAATTTTAGAAACTTTGACAAAAATTACCCAGATATTTAAATGACTTTTCATGCAATGTTACATGGGGTGACATTTCTTTTGCGGTTCAGTATATAACGGGAAACATGTCATCAGTGGAAATGTAAGTCATTACCATACCTGAGGTGAGATAAGTATATATGCTGTTGGCTATAGAGCAACAAGTATGTGTCTACGTCACAATGAAGGATTAACTGGAAGTGACATCATAGATGACCTCAGAACCAGATGTGATGTCATAAATGACCCAAGTGATGTCACAAACAAAATGAACCAAAAGTGTTGCCTGAGATGTTCTCAAAATCGGAAGTGACATGATGAAAGACCTCAGAATCGGAGAATAGCATCATAAGTAAGGTCATATATTGCCCAAAACAGGTAACAATCATGATGTCATAGAACGGGAAGGATGCCACAAGTGCCAAGTCTTCAGTTTTGCCGAGGGTTAAATCAGAAAGTTAGGCATTGGTTCATACCCTGTTTCTTCTGTGTATTCCTTTACTTCACTGCTGCCGATTATCCGGGAGAACTAGATGACAGATCCCGTCTGTCCCTCTGGTAAATACTGGCTCTGATGTAATAGAGGTAGGATATTCATAAGAATTATCAAACAATAGTATTCATTGTTTATAATTCTAAGAACACTACCTCTATTACATCAGGAAATAGTCCCTCCCACCTCCCCAATATATCTTACATCTTGTCGATGAAGGTTATTGGAAAGAAGTGATGTTTTCCCGCGTTGCGCATGCGCAGATGCATTGTGACAAAGGATTGGGTCTAACTCAAAACTGTTGGGATAATTGGCAGCAAAGAGGACGTCTGTTAAAAGATCTAAAGATTTTATAGTGTGATTATTGCCAAAATGGGAATGTATGGCTATGATGTAATAGTATTCTTAGAATTATATACAATGATAACTATTGCTTGATGTCAGGGATAAGGCTGTTTTAAATTACATGGTCAGCTACCCGCCAGATTCAAACATTAGTTCTCTGAGAACACATGTGGGTTAGAAAGTCACAACCTACTCAACCCCATACTATTTTCACTCATTATTTTTATAATATCAAACAGATCATGTTTAATTTTATCATGGTACAGTTGTGACATGCCCTTTGTTAAATGTAAACAAATGTATGTCACCTATATGAATTGGACACACAATGTGTTAGGTTCAAGCTGTATGTAGGAACTACAGTTTCTTCAGGAACTGTTAGTCAAGAATGGCCTTCCAGATGACTACTGTTTGAAACGTGTGTGTGTGTGTGTGTGTGTGTGTGTGTATGTATATATATATATATATATATATATATATATATATATATATATATATATATATATATATAATCTGAACTTATATGCTAATTGACAAAGTAATGTATTAAAGTATTACATACATTTGGCTGTGTGTACAAATCAATGGGTTTTATGTTAGCTGTGATTGAAAAGAATTCGTTGACTTGTGAAAGAAAGTGATGTTTCGTTGCAGGGAAGCTCTAGCCCAGCCCGCAGTGTTGGACCTGCCACACAGAGTGGACTGGAGAAACTGTGCAACTACAGAGGCGGAGGCCACTCTCATGGCCACCACTTTTAAAGAAGCTTTTCAACAATATGACTTTAGTCTGTAGATGTGGAAATTAGCTAATGGATCCGATAGTGTATTCTGTCAACCATTCAAATTACTAAAAATAATCAATATCATATAAATGTAAGTTTCATGAGAAAACTTAAAGAATTGAGTCAAGGCACTTGATCAAGTAATTAACTAATGTTATCATCCATTTGCTCATAAGAGTGGTTAGACTTATGAAATAAGTATGCAAACAGTTTATGACCTCAATAGCTTAAGCTTTTCATATGAAGTTTAAGATAGGACTAAACCCGGAAATAGGAACACTTCATCTTAAGGTCTCCAGTGGAACAGGCCTGGATTGACTTTTGTGAAAGGTCAAGGTTACCAGAATTTTAAAGGCTTTCATTAGACATATAGATATATAAATGTATTTGACTATTGCATTATATATGAAAACTTTCATATGATGAAAACACAAAGTATAATTCAAGAATCACTTTGTTTGGATTTAATATAACACTTTGATTACCGCATCTATTCTATAAAACTAAGGGAAAGAGATAGTATTAGTGTCATGAGTTAAATCACTGGGTTTCCCTCAACATGATGTAATGCATTTTATTATCCATCGGGTTAGAAATAACCTAATTCATAATCGTGTGTGCACTAGGGAACATATCACTTAACATTCACCAGTGTATTGTCTACGTCATCTGAACGTCATTGTTATTAGAATCTTGTCTTGACATTGGGTCGGAATGATGTCACGCAAGACACGATGTCATAGCTGAGGATTATTGGCTTATTTTGACAATTGTGGTTTTCTAAGATGGCAGTTGTGATCAGTGCATTTTTTACTAAAGGGGAGCTCAAAAGGATGAAGAAATAATGGGTAATAAACAAATTGTATCCTACTGCTTCATAAAACATGTGTCAGAATTTGTGTATTACACTCGTTCTCGCTCGGGTAGCAGGATTTCTGACACTCATTTCGAAAATCAGTATGTCACACATGCTTGTATAATATTATCTCTACTGAACTAGTATCATTCTCTCAGCCCAATTTCTCCCCCCCCCCCCTCAACCACCACCAAATTACAAAGTATTCCCTCTCACAACCCTTCACTACAGCTTTGTATATTGCAGATGGTCATCCTCCAACTCTTGCCTGCCCCCTAATCCCTTACCATAGTGTATGCCTTACCCACCCTTGGCTGTGGCTTTGCTACTGCAAAATGGTTAAGTTGTGATCAGAAAACCATGAGTACAGTTCATCCAGACTAGTCAGTGCAACCGCCAACTGGGCTGATATATCAAGCCTCAACACATCTGTCATCAATAAAAGAATCAGCATCTCATTAGTTTGTTATTTTTGTTCGTTGTTTGTCAAAAGATGGTTATGTCAATTGTATAGGCATGTCATGCCACATGAAATATAGTGGCATATCTATCAGGTTCATGAAGGTTATTAGGAACATGGTAGCATTACTCATTTATAAACTGACTTTCACTTTGTGTGAGTTCATTGAAGGATGAACCTTCATAGAGCGGGGGGGGGGGGGGGGGGGGGGTCAGGACTCAATACAATACATTGTTTGGCTCTCACTCGATGAAGGTTCATCCATCCTTCAATAAACTCACACAAAGTGAAAGTCAGTCATAGTTTTATAACAAAGGATGTATACACAATTTCATTTAGTACATATATAATAACTTTAACAAACACGGGATTACTGACACACAAGTTTTTAAGATTGAAGAATCTGCACCATGCCACAGGGCATACAAGATAAATTTGGTTTTAGAGGTTTCCCATGCTCATACTTTTAACTACAAAACAGTACAATGTATACATTTCATTGAGCATCAACCTAACATCATTGGCAGCAAAGAACAAGAACATTACGGCAGCATGTACAGTGTTTGTGCATCAACCAGGTTTCAAACCAGCTGAGACTGAGCATTTGTCATCTATGACCCCAGCATGGGTGCAGGTACGTATACAACTAAGCTCCTGGCTATCAGAAGTAGTAGTACTTGGCAGCCTGTCATTAGCAATACATCATAACAACTACAACCTAGGTATTTACAAATGATGAATGAAATGAAATAACCCCAGGAACATTGTGGGTGTCTAACTGCTACAATGATTGGAAATAACCAAGAATACCACTAACATGAATTAGATGATGAAAATCGACAATGTGAAAACATGAGAAAAACAGTTCCTTAATTACTGTGTGACAAAACCATTTCCCAGGTATTACAGCGTGTACCATGAATGCATGTCACTGTCACAAATATCTTTGGCCCGATCACTCGCTGTGCCACACATGGCATTCTGAGCATGAGCTATGGTATTCTGAGAGGTCAGAATGTATCTCAAGTAACAGTCTGGACCAACATCCCAGGGTTTTTATGAGGGTGGTCAGGGACATGAGCAGCAGCAGCTGCTGAGGTGGAAACACCGATACGGAATGAGTGGCCGTTAAACTGTTGGTCATCAAGTCCAGCTGTGGTAAGTATGGATCTAAGACTTTTAAAATCTCTATTAAAGGCAGTACCATCAAATGGATTAAAAAGATCAAATTCTCAACGAAATCAACCATTTAAAACGACAGTCATAAAGCATCCGATATTGGCATGACAGTTGCCGGAATTGAGGTGGGGTAGCAAAAACAAGCTTTCGACGTAATGGACAAAGGGCACATACATCTAAAATCGCATAAGTTCACATTAACAGTGTTTTGTTTGTTGTTTAACGCCGCACTCCGCAATATTCAAGCTATATGACAGCAGTCTGTAAATAATCGAGTCTGAACCAGACAATACAGTGATTGACATCATGAGCATCGATCCACTCAACTGGGATACAATGATGTGCATCAACCAAGTCAGCGAGCCAGACCACCCGATCACGTTAGTCGCCTTTTACGACAAGCATCGGTTGCTGAAAACCTATTCTACCCAGGATCTTTATGGGTATAACAGCGTGTATGACCACCCCTTGCTTATAGTCACGCAAAAACTCTCCGGTGCCCAGAAAAGGTCAGTTGTCTGATGATGTCACGTGGGATACGTCGCCATTCTTCTTGGATGGCCTGGATCAGTTCTTGTCGGATGATTGGGGGGGATGTGGTTGCTGTCGAACACGACTACCCATGACATCCCAGAGGTGTTCTATGAGGGACATTTCTGGGGAGCGTGTATGCCACGTCAACACGTTGACGTTGTTGGCTGCAAGGAAGTTATGTACGATTCGGGTAGTATGGGGTCTGGCGTTGATAATGCTGATAAAGGACACCATGTGATAGCCGATGTACAAATGGTAGGACAGTTGGACGAATAATGTATTTCATGTAACGCTGAGCCACCAAATACATGTTAACGATGACCAGTGGTCTCTCCTGCCTACATATTCCTCCCCCACCCACAATACGGCACGACCTCCGGAATGCAAGATGCCGCAGTTCGTTCTTCCCTTCGGTGGTAAACACGCTGTCTTCCATCAGTTCTGAACAGACAAAACCAGCTTACATCAGAGACCCTCTGCCAGTGCGAGCCCATTTTAATCTGACGACAATGTTACGCTGTCAATTACTGTCCTCTGTAAGGTCTTTAATTCCTTGAGCCATGAGTCACCTGGCCACTGTCTGTCGACTAACCATACGTAGCAAGGCATTCGTCTCTGATGACGTCACTGTCAGGAATCGATACATAAGTAAAGGTCTTCATTGGGCGTAGTTACCCTGGGTCTACCTGTTCTTGGCCTGTCTAATGTCTGCCCGGTCTGTATGTTACGTTGCATCAGGTTCATCAAACGTTCTAGCATTATGGGCATGGGTGGCTCCCATTTGTATCACCTCTACGGTCTACTCGCGTTGTTTGGGTGTCAGTCGTGGCATTTGTGATGTGGTTTATTAATATGTTCATCTTGCGAGAATGGTCGTAGTGATGACAAACCAAGTTATATAAACCTTCACAATTATTTCAATATACTCTGCAAAAAAAGAAACTCGAAAGTAGTAATATCGTAAATAAACTCAAGGACAAAAGAAAGTATACACTTTTAAATTGATTTTTTCCCCAAAACTATCAAAGTGAGCAAATGGTATCAGGCTTAAAAGCAGTTGCCCAAGAACTGCAAAATCAATCTCCAAAACGCAATGCGTTGGCCGTAAAGATGCACGTGCAGTGGCCAAAAGTCGCCCAACAGCTTTTCCAGGTATTTGTAAAATTGCACGTGCTGAATTTGTATAGAAAGGCAAACTACATCACATGTAATAAAAAAAACCATCAAAGATATGCCACGGTTAACTGCCGAACAAAGAGAGAGCCATAGGTATTGAGCAGATGGGAGCCAACCACACCCAGATTGCAAGAAACCTTAACTGTACTCGGTCAACAGTCAGACTGTTTCAACGCTTCAGATAGACTGACAGGACACAAGACAGGCCAAGATCTGGCAGACCACGAGTGGCAACGCAACCGGACGATCGGCACGTGCCATCTGCGCAACAGGTTTGTCACGGCGTTAGGATACCGTATCAGTTGACGCACGGTGCTATGACGTTTACGTGACGCAGGTATTAGAGCTCGCCATCACTTCTGTGGAATGGCATAATCCCGGGAACATGGACGTCGAAGTCTGCAATGGGCCAGGACAGAAGGACGTTGGCATGTCCGTAATTGGCAGAGAGTGTTTTTCTCTGACAAAAGCAGGTTTCAGCTGTTTCACAATGATGGTAGACCTCGAGTATGCAATCGCAGGGGGAACGTTTGGTGCCAGGCTGCATTCAAGAAGTTCATCCCTTTGGTGGAGGTGGTGATGGTTTGGGGTGGAATTTGTGGCAACCAACGGACGAAACTTGTCAGCATCTGTGGCAACCTCAACGGCAAGCGATACATAGATGATGGTGCTTCCATTGCTTCGCCAACAGCAACAGGGAACACTCCTGCAGCATGACCACACACTGCAAGGCTCGTCCAGGACTTCTTGAATACAAACAACGTCAACGTTCTTCCACGGCCCGCACTCTCACCTGACTTGAACCCATTCGAACATATTTTGGGGATCATCTGAAGCGTCAGATCCAAAGACGTCCACACCCATCAGCAAAACAGCAACATCTTCCCGACGCTGTAAGAATTGAATGGCTGGCAAATATCAATGTGGCTGCGAGTCTAGGCGTGCATTGGTGCTCACTGTGGTCATAGTTGTTACTGAGCGAACCAGCTATCCGTTGAAGACCACATACTTATCAAGAAACTACCTGGTTGACTGATCATTCCTGTGAACTGTGATATGCCTACTCCCTTGTTCATGAAAACGTCATGTACACGTCACCTGTTTTGAGTTTCGCACTGAAATTGTGCTTGGACTATCGCATGTGACCCTATTAGCATCAGTATACGGACGGAAGCCCAACGCAACAACGCCATCAGGAGAATCCTCTTTAGCTGTAGCCAGGTATTTCCATGTAGCACCAAGCACCATTACATGACTGTGGTACGGTTATCAGACACGCGGGACAACACGGGATCTTCCAAGATCCGGTTGACCACGTATCACTACCAGAGCACAGGACAGATTCATACAGCTACGTCACTTACTTGAACGAACCACCAAGGCTACAATAAAGGCAATACCATGATTGTGTACGATATCACATTGAACAGTGAGGAACTGTTGACGCGCTGAAGGTAATTGCGCTGGACGACCAGTTCTAGGTGTCATTTTGATGGATCTGCATCGTCGGCTGTGACGTCAGTGGTGTCAAGGTCACAGATTATGGCCACAACTGCGATGGAGACAAGTTTGATATAGTGACGAGTCACTTTCTATGCTTCGCCGTGCGGATGGTAGACGTCTTGTTAACAGGTGTCGCGGGGAACGTTATGCACGAAACTGCATACAGAAAATGGACAGATTTGGTGGTGGCAGTGTGGTGATATGGGCAACCATCTCCTACACTGGTAGGGCAGATGTCGTAGTTCTGGGGAATTTAAAGGCACGTTACTCAGGTGAGATTCTTAGGCCACACATCCTTCCTATTATGCTACAAGCGAACGTCATTTTCCAACAAGACAACGCCAGACTGGCAGGACTGACAAAAGCCTTTTTCTGGTCCATCCATCCAGGTCCTGCCATGGCCATCCATGTCCTTCGGTTTACTTTAATAAATTACAAAGGTAAGCTTTGCATCACATACCAACAGTGTTATTCCTGTTAGCATTCCCCTTTAAAATAAGCGTTGAAGAAACTGTTTTCAGTTTAAAATTATTTATTATTATGTGCTGCTTAATTAATGTCAACAAATCAGAAAGTGTGTGGTTTTACTTAACCATAAACAATACC